AAATCAATGTTTCTCTCTCTAAAATCAATAATAATAATAATAATAATAGTAATAAAGAATACAGCCTTTTCAGAAGGCCCAAGCAAATGTTCCCTCAACTGTCACCAACTAGATCTGGGTCACATGGACACTCCTATTTGGAAGGTTGGCTGAGAGACTGAGTGTATTAGTTTCTTGTTGCTGCTGTAACACATTGCCACAAACTTAGTCACTAAAACCCCCACAAACTTATTATTTTAGAGTTCTGGGGGTTGGACGTCTTAAAATCAAGGCGTTGAGCAGGGTTGTGATCCTTCTGGGGCCTCTATGGGAGAATCTGTTTCCTGGCCTTTCCCAGCTTGTAGAGTCGGCCTCCGCCATCAAAGCCAGCAGGGTAGCATTTTCAAATCTCTCTCTCTGATCCTCCCCAGCTCTGTTTTCACATCTTTTTCTCACTCTGACTCTCCTGCCTCGTTCTTATAAGGACCGCTTATAATGTGCTTACTCTGGGCCTACCTGGATGATCCAAGATTCTCTCTCTGTAACCAGGCAACCAGTGATGGGTCCAGGCTGCCAATTAAGCAGAGACAGGGTTGAATCATATATGAGCGGTTATCCAATAATGCTGGCAGTATGGGAGAGCAGCCGGTCATCCGCAAAAATCTGCTCTACTCCTCCCCATAAGCCAGCTGCTTATACTGGGTAGAAGGACAAAGATTACATAGGAAAGTAGGAATTACAGGCATGGGAAAGCAGGCAACACATAACGGTTACAGGTTACAGGGAATGTGGGCTGGGGGTGGGGTGTTGCAGAGGGTGGGTGCCTCCAGGACCAGATTGTCTTAGCAGCAAGGTTGTTAATCTAGGCAATTCTCTGAAAAGGAGGGTGGACTGCATTCTGATGTTAACTCCCATGTCCCAGGTGTGCAACTCTCAGCGGGGTTAGAATGTGCTTCCTCTAATCAGAACAGAACGATCACGATTAACAGAGCATGGTTAATATTTCTTATAATCATAGCTAATTCCCAATATTCTATTTCCGCCCCTACCATCTCCACCTGAAGATCCCCATTACATTGGCAGGGTCCCTTTTACCACTAAAGGTAATGAAGTCATAGATTCCGGGATTAGTGCATGAACACATGCGGGGGGGGGGGGGGGGGGGGTCCCTCAGCCCACACAGAGCATGTCTAGTTTCTTCCAGCATGTAGGTGGGTAATGAAGGGGCTTGTCAGTTTAGCCCATCTACAGTGTTTGACATTTTATCAACATGGATTTATTTCACAAACAAGCGTGCAGAGAAGGTCCTAGTAAACATGATTCCTTGTTCCAGTCTAGTCTGAGTCTAGCACTCCAGTAGCCTAAATCCTCAGGGGGAAAATTTGAGTCAAAGAGAACACACTGCTGTGGCTGGTGTGGCTCAGTTGGTTGGGCATCGTCCCATGCACCGGTTCAATTCCCAGTCAGGGCACATGCCCGGTTGCAGACACGATACCCAATAGGGGGCATGTAGGAGGCAGCTGATCGATGTTTCCCTTTCACATCAGTGTTTTTCTCTCTCTCCCTCTCCCTTTCTCTCTGTCTAAAAGTCAGTAAAAATCTTAAACAATAAGAGAGAACACATTTTCTTGCTGTTCCTCTGTTAACTCTGCATGTGAGTTGAACCTTGATGTGTTGCTCTTTGTTCCAACAGGACCAGCAGGAGCCTGTGTCAGGAGGATGCTGCGGAGCAGGGCTGCTCCCCGGGGCCACTGAGGCTTCTTCTCGTGGGGAAGCATGGGGCAGGAAAAAGTGCCACAGGAAACACTATTCTGGGCAAAAAGGTGTTCCTGTCCAGATTCAGTGGGAAGATGGTGACTGAAACATGCCAGAGAGAGAGTGGGACCGTGAGAGGGGAGGAGGTTGTGGTCATCGACACCCCCAACCTTTTCTCCTCAACGGCTTGTGCCAAAGACAAGCAACGAAACATTGAACACTGCTTGAAGCTTTCTGCCCCCAGCCTGCATGTCCTGCTTCTGGTGATCCCCATCGGCCACTGTAACGTGGAGGACAAAGAGACAATCGAGGGCATCCTGAAGGTGTTTGGAGCGGAAGCCAGGAGGTACATCATTATCATCTTCACTCGGAAGGACGATTTGGGTGATGACTCCATGAAAGATTACCTTCTACACGACAGATTGCTTGGAGGGTTGGTTGAAAACTGTGGACGCCGCTACTGCGCGTTCAACAACAAGGCAGGTGAGGCTGAGCGGGACAGCCAGGTGGCAGAGCTCCTCCGCATGGTCAAGCTTTTGGTGGATGAGAATGGAGAACCCTACCCCGTGAATTTCAACAATGAAAGCAATGGATTCCAGGTGAGAATTCTTGTTAAGGCCTCCAAGGATCTCTGTGTTGTTAGAGAGAGTGGGATGAAATTGGGCAGAGACATGTGAAAAGGTTCATAGGCCTTGTTTAAGGGGATATCTACACTAATAAAAGAGAAACATGCAAATTCACCATCACTCCGTCACTCCGCCACTCCGCTACACCCACCAGGCAATCAGGAGTGAGTATGCAAATTAACCCAACTAAGATGGCGGCGGCCACGGAGCTGGAGTGAGCAGGAGGCTTGGGTTGCCCCCAGCGATGGGAGGAAGCCAAGCTTCCTGCCTGCCCTGGCCAGCCCTGGGCTCCACTCAAGGCTACAAAGCTTCAATTATAGAAGATAAATAAATCCCAGATACCTGCTTCCAGCCCGCCCTGGCCTCCGCTCAAGGAGGCGCTGAAAAGAAAAAAAGGAGAGGCTGGGAGCTTGGGTTGCCGGTGTGTGTGTGTGTGTGTGTGTGTGTGTGTGTGTGTGTGTGGCCAGCCTGAAAATGGC